AAAGGCCTAGAATGTTCGTTCGTTACCTTCTTTTCTAGTCTGACTATCCGACACGTACTAAAAACCAATACTCGTCAGAGCGATAAAATGAGTGACGAAGTAAAAATGATAAATTGAAGAGGTAAAACGTTTCTGGCAGGTTGATGCATATTAAATTGTGGTACATCATTGGTGGATGTAGTTCATGAGTGAAATGATCTAAAACAGTTTTTACAAACCGAGAATATCTAAGACATAATATGATCTGCTGTGTGATAATGACAACATCTAATAAACTGACGCTGCACGTACTTAGACCCCCACGGGTAGCAAACTGGTCAGCGTGCTCGATTTCCGTGATGCGACCCCCGGGTTCCATTCCTGGTCGGTGTCGTGTGTGTGTCGTGTGTCGATGAGAAGGCCGTAATATGGGTAGGAATGTCTATGTGCTAACCACGCGCACCCATTAACCCATGGACGAGAGGCCGGGGCGCCGTTGACCCCGTCAGAGGCTGATGTGCCAGTACAGACAGAGTCTTTAGACCACGGAAACTCATGGATGAAGACGTGGAGATCAAATTTCCGAGAAAATTGCAGAGACATAGGCAGCAGGAAAATGCCAATGAAAGCTATGATTTATATTTGAAAGACCTTGTTTGATTTCCAAACACTAATGCATTATCTTACTTCCAAAAATACTGTTGCATAAAAACGAGAAGTCTTTTTGTTTCCCTTTCGTCCAGTCTTTCAAGGTGTGAACGTGCTTCTGGCAGGTGAGCAAATCGGTCGCTGCCAGCGTAAGTCTCTTTGTAAGTCTCTCCGCGCCAGCGAACATTTCATTGTTCATTGGACCTTGCCCCAGTGAAAAGAGTCTTTTAGTGGGCATTTCTCTCCAGCACAATGCCGCGCGAGGAGTTTTTGTCATTCCACGAAAGTCTCTTGAACGCTGTTCATATTAAGCAGTACTTTGAATTTATAGATTTTTTTAGCACAACTGAAACGTCTTGGCCTTATCCACTATAAATCATTGACATTAGATGCTAGTATCTCGTAACGCTAGAGTCTCGGAATATGCCGGGGAATCGCCGCCGAAGCTACTTCCACCCTTCATCGCTCATCCCAGTCCTCATTGTACTCTGAACGCGCAGCGTGGTGCTGTACTTAAAGAGTTATTTCTGTTGCAATGCGAGGAGCGTTCGTTGAAGGTACGTTATCCCGAGAACAAGCATAAAGAGATCATACGGAAATTCATGCAAAATAAACTAGCAGAAAATGAAGGAGATCTTTGTTTTCCAGGAACATTGACGTTCTCATGTACATCATTCTAAAAAAATAGAAATTTTCTTTGCCTGTAAGACAGAGAACTTGAGTCAGGGAGGTCACGTTGGCCAAACGGTAGTGGCTCGTTTTGTCCCCTCTATAAACTTGATCGTCCTAGAACTGGGCTTGAGGCTTTTCACATAACCACGTATGCAATCTGAGTAGCCGCAGCCTGACACGGGCAGGGGCACTAAGGCCATAGTTCTGGGCAGACTGGATATGGGGTAATGCATCTGGTGTATCAAAAACACCCACGGATTAATATTACGGTCTATTGGGCAGCATCAATAGCTGGGATGGTTAGGGCAACGTTTGACAGCAATGCCTGGCAGAGCCAGTCACTTGGTTGATTCCGGATCAAATTCATTCGCTGTCTGGAAGAGAATTCTACCGACCGGCTGCTCTGATCGGTAGTTTCCGCGGTTTCTTCGATCAACACCAGGCGAATGCCGGAGCAGTACTAACTGTAAATGACCCTAACCCTAGTACCCTAGTACCCTAACCCCAGTACCCTAACACTGGTCACAGACGCGCGATCTTACCTTACTCTTCCTTGTTCTATCTTCACCCTTACTTACACACATTTATATCTACACGCACTACACTACCAGACATGCCGGGAGACCGGTCGGGAGCTTAGAGCTTGTCCCGGCTGAGACGCGCGTGAGAATTCTCGCATGTACGTCCCTTGTACGTCCGGTAATAGATCGGTCCGCGTGTTGGGACCCGCGTAGGGCTGAACAGATAAGCTTGTTAGACCGTATCGAAAAGAGAGGGATAAAATTTGTAGGTAAAAACAAAGATCAAACACATACGTGGAAACTCCTAGGCAAACGTCGAAAGATAGCTAGGCTAGTAAATCTTTACAAAGCGTACACTGAATGTAAGGCATTAAACGACATTCAAACTAGGATAAGGCGCCCTCAATATTTCGAAAAAGGGGATCATTCATGCAAAATTAAATACAGGAATTAAAAAACCGTCGTTGCTAAATAAATCGGACAATAACTGACAGGAACAATCTACCTGCTTCGGTACAAGCGGCTTTTCCCTCTAGTGTGCGTTGCTTCCGGAATCGTCAAGGAAATTGTGTGTGATGGCAACATTTATGTGTGTTGTATGTCTTCGTAGTTACTTATTACTAATTCCCTATAATATGTTTCTTAACTTGTCTTTTTTTCTTCTTATGTTGTATATGTTTGTCTACATGTCTTCTTATGTATATGCACTGCCACCGAATGAAAACTCATTAGCAGGAAGTAAATATTATTATTATTATTATTATTATTATTATTATTATTATTATTATTATTATTATTATGTAGAAATCCGACCCTACCCCTTCCCCACCACACCCGTATGAAGAGAAAATTATGTTAGCGAAACATCTTTTAGTAGAATTCGAGATTCTGCTCATTTCAGAATTTCAGATCCTGCCCTTCACCTTACTACGGAGGGGAGTTGACCCTTTCACTTTTTGCCAATGAACAGATGGTGGAAAATTTCATATAACTAGGTTGTACATGTGATATTTGTCCCTCATTGTGTGCAAATTCATGCATTGGTGTTCGGTAGGGAAACGAAATCTCTGAGTGTATGGTGACTTGTCAACCGTCACAATGAGTTACGTAGCAATCAAGGGCAAAGCCACAAGTGTAACTTCGTCATATGAAATTGTGTCCTAGAAGTTTGTAACATTTATTCCGACACACGCTGTGCTGCAGAAACTATGTAGGTGATCTTTTTGCATCTGGCGCGTGCTGCCTCTCGCGCAGTCCCCCCGGTGTGTCAGGCGCCGGCGTGGGTGGCGCCGGGGGTGGGGGCAGCAAGGCGTGACTGCGTGCGTGTGCTCGGCGCAGCGGCGGCCGTCGCGCTGCCACCCATTTGGCGCGGGGAAGCACGGGGGCCGTCTCGCCCGACAGCCTCCGCCCCCGATTCCTCACTCTGCGCCCCGCTCTGCTCTGTTCTGCGCCTCCCTTAAAGAGTGGCTGCCAGGCCATTGCATTTGCAAACGTGTTTTTTTGTTTAGTAAAAAATTATTGTGACACGAAGTCACTAATGTATTGTGTCATGTTTTGTAAAAACGTGACACGAAGTATAAACTCTGTCTTATGGAACAAAACCATCACTAACACTACTAAAAGACG